CTCTGGGAATCTGTGTACCATGAAAGATGGAATAGAGCAGTAGAAAGGGAGGAGGGAAGGTTTAAGAATCAGACCCCTGTTGGGATCCAGAATGGTCCCTGGATCCAGCAAGGGTGGTACTTTATCAAGGTGTGACATCAGATAGAATTCTTTTTTTTAATTGGGTACTGGGGATTGAACTCAGGGACACTCAACCACTGAGCCACATCCCCAGCCCTATTTTGTATTTTATTTAGAGACAAGGTCTCACTGAGTTGCTTAGCACCTCACTTTTGCTGAGGCTGGCTTTGAACTTGTGATCCTCCTGCCTTAGCCTCCCACGCTGCTGCGATTACAGGCATGCACCACTGTGCCTTGCTAGAATTCATGATTGCTTGGCTCTCAAAAGGTCATCTGAGCCCAACTTCTGTTTCCTACCTACTCTTAGGTGAACTTCTATGGATCTGACTTTTGAGTCATAGTTGAGGATCTGTTCAAATCCAGAGCTTCTGGCAAAATTGTTTTAGAATTGTTTTTGGTTCCATGAGCCCCGAGTCCAGCCCAACCCTTATCTTTTGGCAGCCCTGAAATATCAGTCCCAGAATAAATGCAAACTTCAAACCAGGTAGGTGATAGTCCTAGGGCTGGCGGTGTGGCCTGGGGAGCCACTGCTGATGTGCACCCATTTTGACCCTCTGCTACTGAGGTTGTCAGGAAGGTCTGTCTTCATTTTTAACTCCTTCCTTGTCAAATACACACAGAACACATCCAGCAGAGATTCTCCTTCCTTTCTTGCTAATTATGTCCTACTCAGTTTTTAAGATACTTTGAACATTATTTTCTGTAATCTTATGTTGCAAAGTCATAGAGTTTCATTTTCTTTTTAAAATAAAAAAGTATTTTTTTATATTTCAATGTTAAGTATACGTGGAAAAAAGATGAACTTCTACTAATCTCAGTAACCCCACCTCCATCCCAGGTTACAACTCAGCGGCAGACCCTTTCCTCAGAGGGTCTTTCTTTCACTTTTTACCCTGAGGGTGCTGACTCTCTTCCATGAAGGGGTTATACTAAGTCCTTATGTTCATCCTGAGTTCCTCTCTTTCCATAGTCCTACAGTGTTAAATTCTCACTGGGCATTTTTGCTTGAGTGATCCTTCTCTCTCTTAAGCTCATCATGCCTGAAACAGAACCCACTCTGTCCTCACTCCTAATCCACCTCCTATCCCACCTCACCCACTTCCTATTTCTGACTTTGCTTCCTGCTCTCTCCCATCCATCCCTCCCCTGATGTATCTCATCCATCATCAAAGCCAGCGAATCCTCTTTTCCCCTTTTCTTTCCTGCTGCCATGATACTCATTTGGGTCCTTTGTCCATGACTGATCTTTCTGCCTTCATCTCTTTCCATCGAATCCATCCTATCCATATTATTGCAAAAGCAATCTTCCTGGACATCAGTTTTCCTGGGTCCTGCTTTTGCCCATGAACCCTCAGTTTCTTCCAACAGCTGCAAGATCAAGTCCATCTTACTTAACCTTGAAACCCTGGGCCTCCATACTCTGATCCCTAGGACAATCTTTCACTCCTTCTTTATATGAGCTCTTTATACATATTCATTCCTTTTTCTGTATAGCATGTGTTTGTTGCTTTATCATCGATAGCACTTCCATGTGCTTGGTACCACCCTAGTTATTTCTGGAAAGGTAAACAGGAAAGCGCTTACAAATGTGCTTCTTGGTCTTGGAAGCTGGTGGTGCTGTCTGGACTGTTCACCAACTCTCTAAATCTTAAAGCATCTTCCAAGGCCTATTTTCTGAGCACCCAGCATGCCCCTGTTAGTCCTTCTTTGCCTAATTGTCTGGCTCCTTGATACTTAGCAATTCCCTATTCATTTCTCACTCAACCACCAAGCACACACAGAACACCTACTGTGTGTCAGGCACCATAATCATTTTGCCTCACATATTAGTACACTTCCAGAACATAAGATTTACATTATATATTTCCTCCTCAAAACAATGTATGAAGTAGACAATATTATCCATATTTTATAAATAGGAAAAAATCTAAGCCCCAAAAAGTTTAGGAACTTTCCTAGGGTTACAAGCTAGAAAGTAGCAGAGATGAAATTCAAATCTATTTCAGGAGTCCTTACTGTTAATCCCTGTGCTTCACATGAGGTGCTGGTATATGTCGTGTGTGTGTGTGTGTGTGTGTGTGTGTGTGTAACCCTAAACACACATACCTCTTCCCAGCTGGACTTTGAACTCCTAGAAGTTACAGATGCTGTATTTTACCTACTTGCATTCCCACCCATCCCCATCCAGCCCTTGCATGTAGAAGGCACTTGAACTGCTTGCTTGATTGGTTGTTGGTTTTTCCATTTACTATTGAGAAGCCTGAGGTTTTTTAGCACCAACAGGGGATGTTTTGAAAGATCAGGTGGAGACAGAATTTCAGAATAGACCCGAATACTCTGGAATTCTTGGTTTCCAGTTCTTAACTCTGCAAGCCATGAGGATAGGGTTACACAAGAAAAGAGATTGATGTAAAAGCTCTTGAAAGTGAAATAAAATTCGCGTCACAAAAAGAAAAATAAAATCCAAATCATGTTATACTTACACAGGCCACCCCCTCCCCCATCCGGCTTCCTGTCACACTTATCTCCTGTCCATTTGCTTTATTGCCTGCAAAACCAGAGTTGTGGCATTTAGGTGCTCAAGTTTGCTTTCCTGGTTTAATATTTCTATTTAAGGCTTTTATAAGTTGAAGAAGATGAACATTTTACTTGAGTGGCAATACTGCAAGCACATATGTAGTTTAATAAAACCTGATAAGTACATATTCGAATTTAAAAAACACAGGTGGTAGGTTATTTGCATTTTAAAAGGATTCTTCCCTTCACAAAAGGATCCACTGCAGGGTTCCATTAAATATCCAATTCCTCTTAGTGAATTTATCATACAATTTAATTTACCAAAATTTGATTTATATGCCATTCCCAAGAGGTAGCTCTCAAGTTTCAGGGACCTTGGGAACCACTTGGGCAACTTATATACCATTCAGTTCTGGCTCCTACTCCTCCCCAAGATTCAAATTCATTATGTCTGGGGTAGAGTCCAGCATCTTTTTTTTTTTTTTCAAGCATTTCACAGGTCACTAGTGAAACATACAGAAGTTGAAACCCAACTGGAGAGGTTTCCCAGGGTCCGAGGACCCCTTACTATCAAGCAAGACGCTTGTCCTTCATTTTGGAAAATTGTAAAAATATTTGTTTGGGTCAAGTAGACTCTTCAGCTCTTTTCTACTTACTGTCCTGTAGTTGCCATGTATCTTTAGTCTCAGCTAGAAAATGGTTGCTTTTTAATCCAACAACAACAACAACAGCAACAAACCCCAATTTTACTCTTAGGAATTTTTTTTGATCTTTCCTTTTCCCATTTCTTAAAGCTGACAAGGCTCTTGTGAATGGTCACCTACTAAATTCATACATTCCCCTTTCCAGACACTGCACCTGCCTGACCTCATCCCTTCCCCCTGTGCTCTTGATAGGGATGCTGAAGGCTGTGACTCTGTGCAGAAATATCAGGCACTGTAGTTATTTCTGTGAAGGTTTCCCATCCTCTCTCCTTACTATCTTACTACCCACTCACCCCCCCCCCCCAAAATTAAACTTATTATTATTTTTTTAACAAAACAAATCATTACAATGACTTGCTTTGGCACAGTTCTGTTCTTCCGTAAGTACTGATTCCAGTCCTACAGCAATGAAGACCAGAACTGTGTATTTACAATATGATTGTGGTTTAATGAAATTTGTTTAAAAAAATAGACTCCATGACATTTGGGGCACATGTATCTATGTATTTAGTATATCTCTGATCTTTTAAAAGTCAGTTGTTTGACCTATATTTTGCCTCTGATTACTTTTGTAAATCTCTAGTAATCTCCAAAAACATTTAGAGATTTTCATACTTCAGAGGTTTTTTTTTCTCCTTTATTAATCCCCTAGATCCCTGAATTTTGCTGCAAGTAAAGGTTCTCTGGGGTGATCTGGATTCGGTGAAACATCTCCAGTAATAATAAAAGCAATACAAGAGCAGATGACTGGCATAGTAGGTTAATGGTGGCGAATCTTTAAAAAAAAATTATCAGAGCTTATGTTTCCCTTGAAGGAAGGGGTTCTTAATAACCTTGTTTACCTTGCATAAGAATGTGGCCAGAGATTCTGTTTTTTGTTTATTGTGACTTTTTGTACATTTTTTTAAACCTATTCAGTGGTGAACTGGGTCTTCCTGATAAGTGTGTGGAACTTTCTAGGAAAACAAACGAACAAACAAATAAAAAGTGGAGGAAAAGTAGAGGAGAGGGTATGGAGCAAAGTCGGGAAATGATAAGAGAAGGTAGTATTAGGTGAAATGGTAATACCGAGAATCGGTTTTAGGTTGTCTGGGCATCTCTTGCAAGCAGGTGCATATCTGGCATGTTCAATAGGATTAAATTTATGCAGAAAACAACATTATATTAGAAAAAGAGTTGATGGTAATGTTTGGATAATAGGAATACAAATGCTTGTTTTTTTCCTCTTTATTTGTCTGAATTTCTCCAAGTTTCTACAGTGACCATGTATTACTATTCCAAGTAATTTGAAAGAAAGGAAGAAACCTACTTTACCTGGGGTTGTGAGTTGCCTTCCCAGGGACCTGGTCTTACTATATTTATCATAAATCCTATGTATTGCATAGAACAATGGTAAAAGGAAGGTTGGCCTTATTAGGCCCATTACAGTTTGAACAAGTAAAGACTGTCTTGGAGAGGGTAAGAGCCAGCCTTCTGCCCTGAAGCAGGAAGGCTGGGGTGTTGGTTTGTTGCATGCTCCAGTGTGTTCATGTGCCTTACCACACCTCTTGCCACCCAAGAATTACAATGGCATTGCATTTGGGATTTTAACTTTGTCTTCTTTCTTTTTTCCTTCCCTTTCCCCCTCCTCCTCTCTCTCCCCCCTTCTACTTCCTCCAGGCCTCTCCCACCTCATGATGAGTGAACAAGGTAGGTGCTCTGTGCCTGTGGTCCTGCAGCTGCCTGAACTGCTTGCCTTTGTGCCTCTGGCTGGTCACTCAGAGCCTCCTCCTTGCTGGCAGGCTGTTAGCTGCCTGTCCCTCCTGCTGTGGACCAGGCTGGCAGTAGGGCCACCCTGCTGTGTGTGAGGGGCACCTTTCCTGATGCATCATGATGCCCCACCCCCACTCTCCCCTGGCTTCTCCATTCTCCACTGCCATTTGTCATCCTGGGCGCTGGCCCTGCTGGGCTGCCTCCAAGAGGCAAGCATGAAACAAGGCATGACCGTCGATAATGGGGGTGAACGGAGCTAATTTCAGAGCAACCAGGCGGTTAACTTCCTCCTGCTCCTCCTCGGGCCCGGCTGGGCCCCAGGTTGGGGGAGAGCTGGGCTTCTCCCTGAGTTTCACTCTGGGTAAAGGCTTGCTTTTGTCTTGCCCTCCATTCCATTGCTCATCTTAACGACATTCTTCCCTGGTCAAAGGAAGCCCTTGAGGGTTTGACTGTTTTCAGTTTGATATAAAAGCAAAAATCACTGAAAGAACATGCTAATGTCCTCATGGCAGAATTCTAACTCATTATACACCCTGAAGAAAACTGCATATAAAGATCTGTAAATTCAGCATCTGTAACCTAAAATATTCAAATATGCAGGGAATGAACTGTGCAGGAAATTCAGCTCAGCTAAGCATGGGGTGGACTGTGAACGAAGCGTTTTTCTCCTAAATAAAAATTTTCCACATTATCAGCCCAAGTCAGGATTTGAGAACTGATCCTACTTAAAATTGTCTTTTCTTTCATTGTTCGATTGCTACTATTGGGCTTCCTCCGAGTACTGGGGTGATTGCAAGATTGGTCTACCTGCCTTGCCCTGTCACCAAAAGACTGCACTTTAATTTTTATTGTCTGTTTTCCCCCCCAAAATACACATGCTTCTCTTGCATGAAGAACTAAAGAAAAGAAGGATGGGTACTTCCAAACATCCCTGCTTTTCTTGGTCTTTTGAGGGGGGAAGGGCAGCACTGGTAGCACTTCCCTTCCCCTGGTCCCTTCCATTGGCTCCATCAGAATATTTTCCCATAAAGGGAAGTATGATCAGATCAAGGAACCACCCAGGGTTAGAAGAAGACAGTTTGTGGAGGTGGGCAGGTGAAAGGCATCCTGAATTACGGCAGATTAAGGAGGAAGCCCACTTTTCTAATATAAGTATATCCTCCAGACCTGACGTCCATGATGTGATCTCCAGAAATTGCAATGAAGAGATGGATTGGTAGAGAGCAAATATCAAAGAGAGGGGTCAGATGAGTCCCCCAGTTTTAGCCTTGGCTCTGGAAGAGGCTGGGATGCAGCCTGTCTTTCGTTGTTGTGGGAGTGAGGAATGCAGGTTCAAATGGCAAGTAGCTATGAAGCGGGTGTGAGGGCATGTTCTCCCTGTCCACATAGTGTCTGGATATTGGTGAGTATTACACACTTCTCTAAGAGGAGAAAGGAACTGAGTTCTACGAATTGCTGAAATTGGATGGCCCAACTTTGGTGACTAGTAATACCCAAAAGAGCAGGCCCTCAGAATCCTGATGACAGTGGCTCCTTTTGTGTTGTCTAGTCTTATGCTTCTGGCTGCCCTTCAGTTCTCCCAGCTTGTACAGTGGCTTGGAGTATCAAGTGCATCAGATGGCTGATGTCATAGAGCAAAGTATGGCAGATGGGATGGGCCAATGGGGACTTCCTTGATCTTGATTTAGCTCTTTTCAGACACACTGATGCAGCACAGGAAGGCTACATCCCAATATTGGTATGAAAAGTTTTTAGAGAGCTATTTTTTTATACCTATCTTGTACTCCAATGCATATTAGTAGAGCATTCAAATGTAACCATGCTCCAGGGGAAGAAATGAGTTACCTTCTAGAAAAAGGGAAAGAAATGATTTCAAACACGAATGTGGCAAATTCCTCTTTAGAGATGTTTTCAAGAAAGGATGCAGAATTCTTCTGGGTGACTGGTGCCACTAAGATGTTAAGTTGCCACTTGCAGCGTAATCTGTTTTTTAATAGGATCCTTTGACTGCACTCTTCTTCCTCTCCTGTTCCATTCCCCAACTCCTTGTCCATTCTCACCCTCTGATAATGACCCCAATGCTAACCCTCTTCTTTCTACTGATACTCTTTACCTTCTCTGTATTCCTTCCCGTGAAAGTGGCTTTGTCTGGCTCCTACTGGATCTCCAGAATTTGTTTTTGATGTCCTTGAATATGTGTGTGAATATTTATGTATGCTCTATGTGCATCACCTGTCCATGTATGTTATACTCTTGGTTCTCATGACCATATTAATGCTGGGAAAATATAAGAGAACCTCACTTCTCTGAGATGTTCCCTGATTATCATTAAATCCGTTAAGTGTGCAATTTCACATACATGTAGCTGTGCAGTGCTCTTGCATGCAGACTGTCATGTTCCTGAGGATGGGACTAAGAAGAAATGAATGGGATGAAGCTTACGTACAATGGAAGCAGCCTTGCTGTCAATGTTACTGCTTGTTTGAGCTTCCCATTGTGCGTTAGTTTTGTGCTGCCTTCTGGGGATGTTGCCATGCTACTGCCTTTGCTGTCTGTGGTAGATCTGTTATGTGTGTTGTGTCTCTGTGTGGGTCTGCCATGTGCTGATGTTACTTTCCTTTCTTTTACTCTCTCTCGCCGTCTCTATGGTGGACACCCTGCTTCTTCTCTTAACTGGACCTTCTACTTCATTTCTGTAGGTAGAAGTAAAGGTAGAGGTCACTTTATTTTTTATCATTACAACGATCAATCTGCCTTCTGAATTATTCGTGTATATAAGGGGAATTTTCGATTCTGATGAATACAGTCCAGATTAGAATCTAGTGTTTTTAAAAAAATTAAAAAAAAAAAAAAAAAAAAAAAAAAAAGCCAATGCTGCCATTTACCTTTGATGCACTTGGTATTCAGTGCTTGGGGGTGATTGAGTTAGCTTGCTTCCCTCTAAATCCAGGATGAACCTTATGTATGATGTCAAATTGGTTCTAGCAGGAATGGGGTGGTGCGGTTCTGGAAATGTTCATGCAGTGTGGAGGGCATTCTAAGATCCCCTCTAAGGAGCAAAGCATATTGAGAGATCAGGGGAGGTGTGAATTGGTGAGCTATTGTTGCCATTATTTAGGAATAACCAAATTGGGGGGTAACATTGGTGAAGGAAGGATGATCGATGAGAAAGAATAGAGCGTTGGCAACTTGCCTGAATTTTTATTTAGGGTGGAATTTGGGGATTATTTGTTTATTGCTCTATTTTTCCTCTGGTGTTGTATTCCCTGTATTATGTGGGAGTTAGAATTTTTTTTTGATGGCGGGCAATAGGCTAAGAAGGATGGGACTGGTGTGTGTGGAAGAATCTAGGAATATAAATGCATTACATTGTAAGAAGGAAGGAGAATTTTAATATACAAAGTCAGCCTTTGCCAGGTGGGCAGGGAAAAGGAGCAGCCCTGAGCGGGTGGGCTTGCTGTGGAGCTCTGACATGCTGTTCAGTGCGTCACACCTTTGGGTAGCACAGCTCACTCATCCATTCCTAACTAGAGCTGTCAGAGATTTGAGCCCAGAGAACCTGGCTCGCCAGCTCAAATTGGATTAGCTATTCGGGAGTGAAGGGAGAGGTTAATTGATAAATTATAAATATGTATCTGCATCCAGCCATCCCTCTTCCTCCCTAACTCTCCAGCCCCTACCTTGGTGAAGCTGTGTGCAGCTGCTTCCTTCAAAAATTGGCAAATAGCAAGATAGGAGATGTGAAGTCTGGCATGAGAATGTGGCGGAGAGAAGGGGCTGACATTCTTGAAAATGCTGATTTGAGGGCTCGATGTGTACACTGGCCATCTCTCATTTGAGTTTTGTGCTTTCCCAGATTTGATTAAAAAAAAAAAAAGTTCTGTATGGCTGCCTTGGAAGCAGTTCAGTCTTTTCTACGTTGGGGCTGGCTGATTGCTTGTTCCTTTTAAGCTAAGCCCAAGTATGGTTCATTCCCAGAAATCTGTCTTGAGGCACCCTTACCCCATTGCTAGGTGGGTGGGAAAGGGGAAGAGGGAGAGTAATAGATTAGAGGGGTATGTCTGGCTGGACCTCCCCCTCTCTACTGGTATGGCTCACTCTAAGGCTGCCAGTGATCTAATGGGACAAGCCACCAATCTGCCCAGGGCTCAGCCTCTCTGAAACACGTGGCATTGGTCACTTGTACCATCTGCAGTTGGCTTCTGCAGTACATTAGAGTCTCTCTTTACCCCCAGCCCCCTATAATAAGTGTTTTTAGGTTTTCCGTAGATCTTACTTTTTGTCTCTGGGTCTTTGCTGTTACCATGCCTGGTAGTTGCTATCACATGGAGTGCTCCTGTGCACCAGCTACTGTGTTATGGGTTTTGTGTTCCTTATCACACTTAATATTCTTAGCTCTTCTAGGAGGTGAGTGGTGGCATTATTCTTTTTTTATGAACAAGGATAACAAGGCCCAAGAGTTAAGTCACTTAAGTCAGGTGGCTACTAAGAGAGAATGCAACCTGGAATCTGAGCCCCTAACCACATCTCTACACTGCATCTCTTGGATCCAAGGGTAATGTCCATGTACCTGCCTCCTTGCTACCTCCTGGGTACCAATCCATCTTAAGTTCCAGCCTGCCACCTTGCATTTGCTATAACACGTGTTCATATAAGTGTCACCTAGTGCTGTCACCTCTATGTCCAAAGTCCACCTTTGTATCATTTGTCCACAAACCAGCTTCCTTGTGTGCTGTCCCTATTCTTGTTATTGGAGCCCCATTCTCTTCATCACCCCGGCTGGAAACCTGGGAATTACTTTCTGTGTTCCTTCCTGACGCTTCCTAGTCCTCGGCAATCAGTTGAGAGCTTGTTGAAATTCTCCTCTGGCTTGTCTTTTACATCTCTACTGTTGACACCTTAGTTAAGTTCTTGGTCACCACCTGATGGATTGTTGCCCTATCCAGCTAGTCTCCCTGCTGCTCTTTGCTTCCAATTATCCTGTAACTGGGAACTGTGTGAACTCTGATGTCCACCCAACAGGGTGCAGGTTTAGCCATCTCCTTACTGGACTTTCCTTGTGTTCTGGCTTTTCTTGTTCATTTTCTCCTCTAGGTCAGCCTCTCCTCCCCTTTATTTCCGTCCATTGGAATCATACATAAAATTCATTTATTGCTTGATGCTGTACTATATGTTACATGCAGAATTGAGCCCTCCCACCATGTAGCTAATATCTTATATTAAAGTGATTTGGGAATTGAACTGTCCCTCTCTACTGGCCTGCAGGTATGTTGAAGACAAACATATTTATTTGTTTATGTCCAGATGTGTCTATCCTAGTGTGTTGCATGTGGAAGGGACTAAAAATCTCTAATCCTTCTTATCCCGCTGTCAGTCTATCTTCCTAAAAGTGAAATAAAAACAAAATTAAAATTAAATCGGATCATGTAGCTCATCTGCTCAAAAGTTGCTGGTGGTTTCTCTTTGTGTAATTGTTAAGGTGCCTTTTCTCTGCATTATGTTTCCAATGCCATTACCTACTCCCTACTATCATTCTTGCCAGTGAACCAGTCTCCTGAAGCCCTCAACTCCCCCCTGCATGGAGTTCCACTATTGTCTGCTTTTGGAATTTTGCTCAAAGTCTATTTTTGTTTAAATATTCTTGAACTTTCTTCTCCCTCATCATCTTTGAAGGTCCAAGTCTCCTGGCTCTTCTAGACTTTGGACTTTTGCTTTCAAGGACCTACACCAAATTTGCCTTGTACTAGGTGTGCTCATGTATTTCAGTCATAATTCCTCCCACCCCAAAGAATGGAGGCTATGTCTTATCCGTCAATGTAACCTGTACTGCATGGGCTCAGTATTTGGTTGAAAGTTATACTTGATGAATGCTCAAAGAATTGAAAAATGTTTAGCTAAACTAAATAATTGATTTTAGATATACAGGAGGTGGATAGGTGGAGAGGATTTGATATTTTTGGCAGTGATTATGTTAATGGGGTTCCTCTATTCATTAACCTGTCTCTCTTCTGACTATCCTCAATATCTCTACTGACTGATCCAAGAGTTCCAAGGTCATGGAGGGAGATAGTTGTCCAGTTCCTTGCTCACAAAGGCCATCTTCTGGTCTTGTGGATACAAGAGGTAAATAGTTATAGATTACACCAGAATGAAAGGTGAAAGGTCTTAGATTTCTTCTTAGGAGCCTGTCAAAGAAAAGAATAAATACACCTCAGATTTTGCTATTTAAAAGCTGAGTGATAAAACAAAACAGAGAAGAAAGGGTTGTGAAGTTTACAAAACTGAGCAGGATGTTTAACCTGCCTTTCAGGATGCCATTGGGCAGCATGGGGCCAAAATATAGTGTGACTTGACACAAATGGCTGCACAGAGGACTTCTTTAGCAGCACTGGTCAGCTCTTGGACTCGATTTTGACAGCCTCTGTTTAAGGTCGAGAGTGTGTTTTGTCCTCTTTCCTCATTTTCTTGTCCATTTGGGGATTGTACGTTTCTGGGTTAGGTGAGCAAACACTTTTTTTTTTTTTTTAAACTAAACTTGGAGCAGGAGTTGCAGACCTAAATATCCACAGGGACCCAATAGGTTCACAAAGGAATATATCTAGGGGCAAAAGAAATCATAGGGTGAGGGAAACAATAAGTGCTGGTAGGGACTGTGGCAAACCAGAGCACAAAAATCCTGTTGAAGCCTGCAGCCTCTACTGTGTTCCAGCTGATCTCTGCTATGCAAGAATGCAGTCCCAGTGTCACCAAAGCCTCAAGAAAGACAAGCCCAAAATGTGTTTCATATGAAGGTTTGCTCTTGGCACTGTTCGCTTTTTGTATGTGGGAGCATACACACAGGTGTGTGTGGTGCATACCAAGTGAGTTGGCCCAGGAGCCACAAGTTTTTGACCTTTGGCTTGAGTAGAAGGTGGAGTGAACTGTTTCTCCCAGATTTCTTACTGGCTGTCAATCAAGGCAAGAAGTCACTGGCAGTGTGCTTAATGTTCTCCTGGCCCACAGCATCAGTCAGGGTACAGGAATCCTTCCTCCCCCTGGTGACACTGCCAGAGAGCTTGATTCATGTGTCAGGTGAAGCTGGTTTTGGTGAGTAGCGTGCACATGTAGCAGAAGGGATGGGCCATGCTGAGAATGACTGAAAAATAGATAACTGACATCTTCAAGGGCTGCCAACAACTGGCCATAGGAAGGGTGGCTAGGGGGCACCTAATTCTTTTTCCTTTACAGATCTCTTTGATTACTGAACTAGATAGTTGATCCTACAATCTAATCTAGTCCATTAGGATCTAAAGGCCCCTTTGGATTTATGTGTGTGTTTCCTATGTGGATTTGATCACTGGCCTTCTAATACTGAACCCATCAACATTGGCCAAACTGGGAAGTGATAATCAAGCTACATCAACTGGAACATGATTTCACGTAGATTGTATTTTGCTGGTAATAACGTTAAGGAAGCTGATTTGAGGAGTTGAGTCCCTCTTGTCACTTCTAGGACTTGAGAGCCCTGCAACTAACTTAGTGCCTGATAGCCAACTATTTATGCAAATTAGTAAATGCATTGCCAGCTACTAATTATGAAAATAAACTCATCTGTGCTCTATAAATATCTAATTATAATAAAATAGGAGCAATATTACATTTCCATCTCGTCTCACCCACCACTGATTTGTCCTCTTGACAAGGAATAAAATCACTTTGTTTTTTGAAGAAG